GTCTCTTCTAATTCAAGAATATAGAAATCATACCAAGTATCTTCTCAGATCACAGTGGCATGAAATTAGAAATCAACTACAATAAAAACAATAAAAAACATCAAGCACTTGGAGGCTACATGATATTAAACAATGCTTGGGTTACCAATGGCATCAAAAAGAAATAAAAAGCATCTTGGTAACAAATTACAAAGAAAATACAACAATCCAAAATATATGGGACACAGTGAAAGCAATTTATAGATTTAATGCAATCCCAATTAAAATACCAACAGCACATTTCATAGACCTATAACAAACTCTCCAAAACTTCATCTGGAATAAAAACAAAAACAAAAAACAAAACAAAAAACCCCCCCCAAAAACCGAATAGCCATAGCAATCCTAAGAAAGAAGAACAAAGTTGGAGGGATCACAATACCAAATATCAAGTTATATAACAAAGCCATGGTTCTCAAAACTGCTTGGCATTGGCACAAGAACAGACATATAGACCAATGGAACAGGACTGAAAACCCAGAAATAGACTCAAGCCATTATGCTCAATTAATATTTGACAAAGGAGGCAAGAGCATAAAATGGAGTCAAGACAGTCTCTTCAATAAATAGTGCTGGGGAAATTGGTTAGACATGGAAAAAAAATGAAATCAGATCACCAAATTACAACATACACAAAAATGAACTCAAATGGTTAAAGGACTCAAATGTAAGTTGGGAAACCATAGAAATTTTAGAAGACTCCATAAACAGAAAATTATCAGACATATGTCGTAGCAATACCATTACTGATACATCTCCTAGAACAATGGAAACTAAAGAGAAAATAAACCAATAGGACTACATAAAAATAAAGCCTCTACACAGCCAAAGAAACCATCAATAAAATAACAAGTAAGTCCACTGCATGGGAGAACATATTTGCCAACATTACCTCATATAAGATTTGAATCTCCAACATTTACAGGGAACTCATACAACTTAACAAAAGGAAGATAAACAATCCAATAAAAAATGGGCATGCAACCTAAATAGACACTTTTCAAAAGAGAACATATAGAAGACACTTTTCAAAAGAGAACATATTGAAGGCTTAAGGACATATGAAAACATGCTCAAAGTCACTAATTATCCAAAAGATGCAAATCAAAACAACGATGAGGTACCATCTCACACCTGTCAGAATGGCTATCATCAACAAACAAATGACAAGTGCTGGTGAGGCTGTGAAGAAAAAAAATCCCCTCATGCACTACTGGTGGGAATTCAGACTGTTGCAGCCACTGTGGAAAACAGTATGGAAGTTCCTCAACAATCTAAAAATGGAACTCTCATTTGACTCAGTAATCCCACTTCTCGGATTATATCCCAAGAAAACAGATACACCAATAAGAAAGGATATATGCACCCCTAAGTGCATAGCAGCACAATTTACAATAGCTAAGATTTGGAAACAGCCCCTAAGTGCACATCAGCAGATGAGTGGATTAGAAAACTGTGGTACATCTACACAATGGAATACTCTGCTTCTATGAAAAAGCATGAACTTTAACCATCTGCAACAGCATAGATGGAAGTGAAGAACATTTTGCTAAGTGAAATAAGCCAGTTGGAGAACGATAAATATCACATGATCTCACTCTTATTTGGAATATAATAAACAACATAAACTGATGAACAAAAATAGGCCCAGAGACAAGGTAACACTGAACAGACCATCTATCCTCAGAGAGAAGTTGGAGGAGGTGGGGGGTTAGAGATCAACCATGGGACTTGTATGCATGCATATTAGCAAAAACAATGGAAATGGACACTAGGGCAGTGGGGGCTTGTCCAGGGGGTTGGGAGTGGAGGAATGGGGTCAACCCAGGAAAAGGGAGACATATGTAATACTTAAAATAATAAAAAAGAAAGACAAAAAACCTGAAGAACATACAGTCTGTCAGGAAATAATAACAATAAAGGAATTTTAGATAGGAACAATGAAGCCACATGGTAATTGGAGCTTTGGAAGAGAGTGTAGGTATAAAAGCTGGAAAAGTAAACAGGATAAAGTACATAGACCTTCAGATTTCACTGTAGATTTTGATTTTTCGTATTTTTTAGTTTTTTTTTTCTGGTCCTGTATAAATGTGCAAAATCTAACTTGCAGATTTGCTTTTAAGATTACTTAAGCACAAATGTTGCCTAAGAGCATCTTTCACTTACAAGCCACTTAATAAATTATTCTTCTTATTAATCAATGTATGATTAGAAGTCATTGAAAAATTTAATAAGTTTGTGTGAAAGATGGATCAATCTAACATATCTAGTGAACTTGACATGAGACAAGCTTGAAAGCAGCTGCAGCAATCCAAGTGAAAGGCAGAGACAGGGGGTGAGTAGAAATTGTATCAACTATATATAGGGTGATGAAGGCAAAGGAGATAGGGTACGACTGATGAAGGAGTCTAAGTTAGGAACAAATTGAGATATCCATATTTTTTAATAGTCCTCAGTGGTGGCAATGGCAGAAAACTTACTTTTTTACAATTGTTTTTATTATCGTTCTGGCAACCTGTGTGGGATTGAGACATTTTCTTATTTTACTGTCAGCCATTCCCTTGGTTTCAAGCTAAATTAATATACTATCTATACTAATAGAGTAAGATGCAAATTAACTGTACCTTTGCAACGCCCACCAGCCAATAAGGGGTGAGTGTGCAAATTAACCCAACAAAGATGGTGGGTTAATTTGCATATGCAAGCACTGAGTGGCCAGGGGTGGGGTGGGATGCTTGCATCATTGGTGATGATGCAGGTGTTCTGTACCACCCCAGCTGCTCTGGGCCTCTGTGCAGCATGTAAGGTGAAAAGGTGGCTCGGGCTGTAGCGAAGGCGGTGCTGGCACCCAGGGGAAGGAAGGCACATTCTTGCATGAAACTTCATGCATTGGGCCTCTAGTTTCTTATGAGGATATTTTTGACAACCTAACATAAATTTATTGGTATGGCTTAGATAATTTTATTAACCAACTAGAGGCCTGATTAATGAAATTCATGCATGGATAAGGTCCCTATGCCTGACTGGCAATCAGGGCCAATCTGTGGGGTGACTGGCAAGGCGATCAGGGTGTCACTGCTGGCACCCACTTTGGCCGGCCTGGTGCCACCTGCTCGCCATCCCTAACCCCCACCACCATGTCTGTCACCTTCCTCTGCAGGAGGTGACCCGCAGGGTGATCTGGGCTCCCACTGGCACCTGTTTTGGCTGGCCTGGGGCCTGCGGACTGGGGGCAGCTCCTGTGTTGAGCATCTGGTCACTGAGCATTATAGCAACTGGTTGTTTCACAGATAGTTGTGCAGTTCAGTCAATTTGCATATTAAGCTTTTATTATATAGGGTGGCACACCTATAATTTAAAAAATAAAAATGAAAAAAATAGAATTAACCTATTCTATGGAATATTTTTGATAATTACTTTGAAATATTATTAGTTATAAAAAAGTTTTATTGATCACTATAGCCCAAAGTATCAATTAGTTAGAAATTTTGTTTATGCTTCTCAGTCTACTTTAGAATTTTGTATCTGGATTTAAAATCATTCTAAAGATTGTGGCAGACACTTGTGAGATTGAGAAAATTATTTCTAAAGAAGGTATAATTTTTCTTGTCCTTTGTGCATGTGAATTATTTATTTTTCAATTGTGCAAATAATACATGAACACATGGTCCTTGTAGAAATATTCAAACCACATAGAAATATTGGAAGTAAAAAGTAAAATTACCTGTTCACCTTCCATGTGCCATCTACTACCAGAAGAAACCATTATTTTTACTTATTTTATTATTTTTAAAAATATATTTTATTGATTTTACATAGTGAGGAATTGAGAGTGATAGAGAGTTAGAAATGTCGATGAGAGAGAAACATCGACCAGCTGCCTCTTGCACACCTCCCCACTGGGGATGTGCCCGCAACCAATGTATATGCCCTTGACCGGAAACGAACCCAGGACCTTTCAGTCCACAGGCCGACGCTCTATTCACTGACCCAAACCGGTTTTGGCAGAAGAAACCATTATTAACAGTTTGATTTATATCCTTTTCCACAACATAATTACATATATTAGTTCAATTAAAAGAGAAAAAGCCAGTTATAGCAGGAAAGTTAAGCATAGTCTTTGATGCCAGACTTCCTGTATCTAAACCCAGACTCTATACCACTTACAACTCTAAGTTTTGGACATCCTATCTAACTTCTCTGTTTTTCAGTTTCCTTGTATGTAAAATGGAAATTATAATATCTGTTTCATAGAGATGTTATGAAGATTACATCTGTTAGTACATGTGAAATCTGTAGAAAAGTGCCTGGCACATATTACATGCTCGATAGATGATGCAATCGTACTGAATATGTTGTCTGCAACTCACATTCCATCAGTACACATTAAAGTAATACAGTGTAGTAATTAAGAGCATGAGTTCTCAATTCAATTGCCTGATTCATGTAATAGTCCCACCATTTCCTCGCTTTCAACAAGTATAGAACCTTTCTTTGTATTTGTTTCTTTTGTTACATGGAGATAATAGCTTCTGTCTTTTCTCTTTTATTGGATTGTGTGTTTGTAGTAATTACTTAATAGATGTTTATTACCATTCCATTATTAAAAATCCTTAGTTTTATATTTAATGGAATAGATGTATCATAATTTATCTAACCATTATATTCTTGATGGCTGTTTGAGTTATTTTAAATTAATAATTGTTACAAAATATGCTGGTTTCCACACTGCTTTTGTTTTAACTTAATTTTTTAAAAATAACTTTGTTTCTGTCTTTGCTTGAATAACAACTACAACAACTAAAAACTATTGCTGTTAACATTTCCCACAGTCATTTTCATTTGCATCTTGAAAAAAAACTTTCAAGATCCTCTTTTGGTTTTGATCTTCATCATCATACCATACATGAGATTAGCCCACATCATTTTCCTGTTAGTTTGGTTCAGTCCCAGGGCATGAATGGAAAGCAGAACTATTTCATTTTGTGTGGTTGAACTTCTCATTCCGAGGTGTAAACCAAAAGCTAAGAAACAAAGAAGCCAAAAGGAGCTTTTCCTGTGTTTGGAGTGTTGGAATCTCAGAAGACTGAATCTTTAGGCATCTTGATATTTGGCAAAGGTAAATCTAAATTCTTATATCTTTTGTGTTGTATTGTTTGATTTTCCCCCCAAAAATATTTAAAGGCAAATAAGTACGTTTCCTGGAAACATTTATAGACCTATAAAAGGAAGATTGTGTCTTGAATCAAGTCTCTTTTTTCTCTTCTCACACTTGTAGAATTTATAGAGAAAATTGAGATACTTAAAGTTGAATGCCAAACCATGTAAAAGACTGAATTAAGTGCTTTGACAAATAAGATTTAAGTAAAAAAGAAGGGAATGAAAAGAAGGGAGAAAGGAAGGAAGGAAAGGAGGGAGGGAGGAAGGGAGGGAGAGAGAGAGAAGGAGGGAAGGAGAAGGGAGAAAGAGAAGGAAGGAAAGAAAGGGAAAGACAAAAAAATGGATGGTAGTGAATTTGGCAAAATAATTTTTATTTATTGATTGATTGATTGATTGATTTAGCTGTTTTTAAGTGTACAGTTCAGGGGCATTAAGTATCTTCACGTTGTTGTGCAACCATTACCGTTATAATTCCAGAAATTTTTCATCTTGCAAAACTAAAACACTGCCCATTAAACACTAATTCCCTGTTCCTTTCTACCCCCAGACCCTGACAATCTCTTTTCCACTTTCCATCTCTATGAATTTCTATCTCAAGTTGGAATATTTAAAAGTAAGTGGCTGTATTTATATTTTAAATCTGAAAGTATTCGTGAGTTTAAATTATGTATAAGTAAATATTCATTCTTTGTACACATGTTAAGGCATAGTAATTTTTTTCAATGTGTGATTCAAATTACAGTAATTAAAACACAGTTAAATTAAGATCAAGGTCTTGATAGCAAGCTTGATCTTAAGTAGACTATTTGAAGGGCCAAAGGGGGACAACTACAACAGTGTCAACATCAAAAATTATTTAAAAAAAAGAAAGGGTTAGGTGCATTAATAACTCTAAAATAAATCATTTGTGACAGCTGAATGTGTATATATGTGTGTGTGTGTGTGTGTGTGTGTGTGTGTGTGTGTGTGTGTGTAATTAAACATTTGTATAAGTTTGTACTTTTGTATTGTCTGATGTATGTATTTTTTATGGAAAATTACATTATAAAACATTGAACAGGTTCTGGAATAAATATAAATATGCAAACTGGCCTTTTTATGCTTCTTCAAGTTATAAAAATGACTGGTATCATTCCATGACTTGTTTATCCGTTCAACTTCTCCTTTCTTCTCTTTGCTCTCTCTTTTTCTCTAAGGGACAAGACGGAAGGCTAAACTTGCTTAATACGACAAGACAGAAATTTTCTGCTGGCCTAGTTTTCTGTAACTTCCCCCTATGACTACACTATGCATAGGACCTAGGCATAATTGTGTTGTTACTAACCTGTCACTTAAGACAGCATCAAATGGTTTAGTGTGATTTAGTCACTCATTCTCTCTTTCTCAATAACTTAATACGTAGTCATTATCATGGGTTGTTATTAATATGGGACACCAAGTGATGCCTTTTGAATTGTGTTTTTGAGAACTCTTGGCCTTGTATCCAGCTACTTGTAGATTAAAACCCATAACCTACATTATTTTTACACACTTCCTTCTGCTTTCACTCTGACCCCAGCTTGCAAGCGATGTACCCACCGTACGTGTTTGGTTGTATGACTCTTTAGCTCCAGCAGATCCAGCCATTTGCAGAAAAAAAGAGAAAATAAAGATGATGCATAAGTTTGTACTTTTAAAAACACTTGCATGTACATCATATAATATCCTGAAAACAATTCTGTGAAGAAAGCAGGGGAGTATTATTACCATTTAATTGATAGGAAATTGAGACCCAGGAATGATAAATAAATTATCTGATATTAAAAAGTTAGGGGAGGGTGGGGGGTAAGAGATAAACCAAAGGACTTGTATTCATGCATATAAGCATAACCAATGGACACATTCAGTAGGGGGGTGAGGGCATGTGCTAGGGGGGTGGGAGTGGCCAGCGAGAGGTCAATTGGGGAAAAAGGAGACATATGTAATACTTTAAACTAGTGTTTCCCAAACTTCTCTCATAATGAGAATCACCTGGTGGAGTTGTTAAACTACAGATTCCTGAATCCCAACTAAGAAGTGCTAAGCTAGAATTTTTGGGAACACATAGGTAAAAATGTATACTTAACTAGTGCTCTAAGACAGAGCCAAATATCTAAGAGAGCACTAAGTTAAGTATACAATTTTACCTATATGTTCCCCAAAATTCTAGTTTAGCACTTCTTAGTTGGGATTCAGGAATCTGTATTTTAACAACTCCACCAGGTGATTCTCATCATGAGAGAAGTTTGGGAAACACTGCTTTAAACAATAAATAATTTAAATTTAAAAAAGTAATAGCCTAATTTGAACCCAAATCTTCTTATTCCCGGTCCCATTCTCTGTCTTTTGAGTAACACTACCTCTCTAAATCACTTGTGTTTCATGTAGAAGAAACATCTTAATTTGACATTTTAATATATATTGCCTTAATGGGTTCTTTTATAATTTACAGGAATATACTGCACTCTTCTGTATAGAAATCTTGACTAATAAAATGCTCGGAGAAGCCTTTCTACTTGAACTCCTATACAAAGAACAGAAATATACAACAGTTTGTAAACCACTTACATGTAAGAAGACCTCAAATGATGAAAAGGAAACTTGGAAAAAGCAGCTTTTAGATATAGAAGACAATTCACTTTCTCCTGATAAAATAGAAAATCAACAAAAGGTTGAGAAAGAAAGTTCAACAAAGCAAATGAATGATAATAGTAAAATAGAATTTGTGGATGAAATAACTGTACCAAAATACAAAAGTGCATCCTGTCCAGGAAATCTGTCTGTTGCACTGCCCATTCCAAAAAGAGAACAACGTGATGAAAGACAACTGGATTTATACCAATCTTGGTCATGTACAAGTATTTGCCAGAATTATCCTGACCTACAGATTGGAGGAGACCAAGTGGGCAACATGTATGATTCAGGCTGCATTGTGGAACAGATACGTGATGATGCTTTTAATGGTCCCCTTTTATTTTCAGTGGATATACCATTGGGCCATTCTCCTATTATTAAGCCTCTAGAGAAACCGCCTGCCTCAAAACTTTTGAATGGGGATGAAATTCGAGAAAAAAGTATGTTGTTTCTTAAGCAGCCCCTCTCTAATTCTATGCTTAATAAGTATATGGAAAACAAGCTGGATGAACTCTACAAACAATTTTTGGAAGAAAATCTCACCAAGTGCCTCTCTATAACCAACCTTATGGCTTCTAATTTGCTAATGAATAATGTAAATCAGTTTAGCCTTCAAATCTCTCAAGAACAGAACATAGAGGCTTCAAAAGTCCGGGAAGCTCTCCTACATTCTTTTTCAAGATGTAATCTCTATAACATTTCTCATGGAAACAGTTCTGAATTTAGCACTCCTAACCTACAAATATCAAACCAGAGAAGTAAGGAATTTGTATCAAATGTATTATAAAAACTAATCATAGGTTCCTTACAAGAGACTGGTGTAATAATAGTTTTCTCTGCTTTATCATGTCACATCAGGCCTCCTGGGCTATGGCTATTAAACTTTTTTGAGAAATTATTTGGCCTTGGCATGGTAGGTCAGTTGGTTAGAGAACCATCCTTATACGCCAAGGATTTGGGTTGGATTCCAAGGTCAGGGCACAAATCTCTCTCTCTCTCTCTCTCTCTCTCTCTCTCTCTCTCTCTCTCTCTCTCTCTCTCTCTCTCTCTATTTCTCTCTCTCTCTCTCACTAAAATCAATGAATAGAAAACAGAAAAGATCTCATCAATGGTACATCTGTATTATTTTATGAGACAATTTTAATGATTAAGTTATATGACCATTTTAAAAAAATTATTTTGACATCTTTAATGATTGCCACATTGATTTTTGTAAATTCTGTATGGCTTGTTTATTTAATTGCCACTGGAACCCCAAATTGATTATCTCACTCTCACTCATCAGCTTTATTTACCACAAAAGTGGTACAAAACTGAGATGAGGAAAGGATTATTGCTTTTAGCTACTGAAAGGACCACTAGAAATGATATCATACAGAAGCATTTATTTGCCACAAAACAATTGTGCTTAATTATTCTTTATTTTATTTTAACATACATACATATATTTTGACACTGACAGTAAGAATAGCCTAAAGGAAATTCTTTAAACTAAAGTTGGATTTTATTTTATTTTTTTATTGATTATGGTATCACATAATTGTCTTCATCTCCCCATTCCCATCCCAAAACCCTCCCCACCCATGACCCCACCCCCCCGGTTGTCCGTGACCACTGGTTAGGCTTATATGCATGCACACAAGTCCTTTGGTTGATCTTTCCCCCTTCCCCCCACCCTCCTCTACCTTCCCTCTGAGGTTTGACAGTCTGATCGATGCTTCCCTGTCTTTGGGTCTGTTTTTGGTAATCAGTTTATGTTGTTCTAATTTCCCCTAGATGCATGAGATCTTGTGATACAAGAAATACACTTATAGGAACCGAAAATGAGACAAGCCTTAATGGTTATGCTAAGATGCAAATGAATCAGTCTGTAGTGAGTTTCTTTCTGGGCCAACAGTTCTTTTGAGTTCCAACTTCAATGTCAAACAGTTCCTTATGTGTACATGTCAGCAAAAATGGTATTGGAAAAATATGGAAGAAAGGCTTAAGAAAAATATAGAATTTGATATTGAAATTTCCAATTGAAATCTGGTGTTTTCTATACTTACCTGGCAGGGGAGATACCATGATCATGAAGATGGTTGTCCCAGGGTGAGGTTTATTCATTGCACTCCAGGTGTGCTGACCCCTGCGATTTCCCCAAATGTGGGAAACTTGACTGCATAATTTGTAGTAGTGGGGGACTGAGTTTGTGATCTCCCCTGAGCTGGGGGAGGGAGCACAGGGGTGGGGAGAAACCTGGTGTTTTCTAACTTTCCTGAGGCAGGCATCAACTTTTTTTTTTTTATATCATTATGTATGCATGGTGTTTTTAAGGGTTGAGAGGAAGGAAAATATACAGGTAAATAGGACAAAATACATATAAAAATGAAGAGATTCTCTTGGCAATTTTTGACACTTCTCAGATTATCCTCAATCAAGATCTCGGTTAAGGATAAAAGTCATCAGCATGTTATGGTGATTTTGAAATCTAAACTAAGTAAATTAATTTAAAAATATACCCCAAATAATGTTGTTTTATTGCAGACTTGGAAACAAAACTCTACACTTAACAGCTTATACTTCTCCTAGATATAGTAAAATGATTGGCATGCACTTTTGCTTGTAAAATAAGATTTTATGTATTTGTTATAGAATTATTATGATTGCATTACATATTAATAAGATTTGTGCATTAGTGATCAAATGGATTTTTATACATACACAGTTATGTATATGTGAAAATCCATCATAAACAAAATTATATTTGAAAGCAAAAATAAATTGATGATGGGAAAAAATGTTTTCATATGTTAAAATCAAGATAACTGTCATTTGGAAATGTTTATTGGGAATTTAGGACTTTGATCCTCCAATCATGTTGTTGTGTTCCTTTCCTCAAGGTCTAGTAAAATTATTAAAATGTTCTCATTATTTCCTCTGATTTTATAATTATTATAGTGTAATTGTATAGCATCATTTGTCACAATTTTATGAAATAGCCTTTAAATAATTATATTTAAGAACATATATATAAAATGATGAAAATCAAATTACAGTATATTGACATCAATTACAAATACTGAAATATTGTTATAGGCAGCTAATTCTTTGAAGTGTTCTGCTATTTTTTTTTTTTTAAAGATGAGAAATTTGTAGATTACAGAATTGCAATGTAGTTCCGGTTTGTACTTCCCAAAATGAATAGAGGCACTTTATCATGAGACTTAAATTGTCATAAGACCTTGGTTTCATCTGACAGTGACTGAAGTTCATAGATTAGCTATTTCCTGAAATTTATTTATCTCTACAGTTGTAAACTGGACTTATATCCAAATAGAATTTATGTAAATGAAAAGGTTTAAGAAACAGCTCAGGACTCTGATGACTTATGGTTCTGCCCCTCTCCTTTGAGGGTTCAACACCACTTTAGTGACACTATTTAATTGTAGAGCACCCTTGTATTCTTTTCCTTAGGTGAGGCTTAGGAATTTATATCTAAGGGTTCAACTAATATAGGAACAGCTTGAATCTAGAGCATACCTACAAGGCTAATTCAAGATCAGAATGAATTTTCAGAGCTTTCTATCTCTAGAAGTCTAGATAGATGTATCCTCAAGACACTCCAGGTACTCAGATAAACTGACTGGCTACTTGTTCATGAAACAAATATTTATTGAACACTGTGATAAATGAGAGAGATAAATGGTGAACAAAATTGATGCAGTTGCTGCTTTTCATTTAGATGATAGTCCAGCTGATTTAGAATCAAAGAACAAAAGTAAATGATCACAATCTAATTTTAGAACCTTATGAACATATAGCACTAGGTAACTTATGTTGATAATTCTGCCAGCTTAGCCTATTAATAATCTAGTCTGAGTCTTGTATCCAGGACCACTTTTTGGTTGCCATTCCAGCATACCTCTAATGATTACCAAACACGCTGAAATATCTCCTTGACAATTGGTATGAAGCTGCTTTCCTCAACTTTCCAAGTTCTCCCACCATGAATATCTTGGTCATTCTGACTCTTTCTTTGGGAACCTTATATCTTCTTATCATCCAGCAACTGAACAGACAAATGGGGCTTTAGTACCCAACTCCAATTCTACGTAGGGCACTCCTTTTCCATATGAGCTGTTAAATATTTTGACTATCATTTCTGCTTTTATCTACTTCAGTATTGAGATTCCAATTCCAAACCCCTGTTAACTAATACTACTGTTCCTACACTTTGGCCCTGTTTTTCTTGCAGCTACTAAGTAAATGAAGATGTATTCATGAACAACAAATATGTGACTGCACTTTCCTCACTGTATCTTTCTTTGATTCTCTCTTGCTTTCCTTTGAATCTTTATTGCTGCATTCTTCTTTAAGGCCTTTTGCTTCTTGTTAGATTACCTAGATGCATACTAACTTACAGAATTACTAGAGGCCTGGTGCATGAAATTCATGCACAGGGGGTGTCCCTCAGCCCAGCCTGCACCCTCTCCAATCTGGGACTCCTCGGCTGATGTCCAACTGCCAGAATCGGGCCTAAACTGTCAGTCTGACATCCCTCTCACAATCCAGGACTGCTGGCTTCTAACTGCTCTCCTGCCAGCCTGATTGATGCCTAACTGCTCCCCTGCTGGCCTGATCACCCCCCCAACTGCCCTCCCCTGCTGGCCCAATTGTTCCCAACTGCCCTCCCCTGTCAGCCATCTTGTGTTGGCCATCTTGTGGTAATGTCACATGAGGGTGTGGCACGTGGGCTTCATGCGAGGGCATGACGCCACCTACGCTTTTATTATATAGGATGGCCTATTATCTGTTGACCAAATTGAGTGACTTGAAACACTAGAGAGGACCTCATTTTGGGTGTTGCACCTTGATTACCCTGAATACTCTTTATTATTCCTGTTTTATATGTTGTCTCAGATCTAAAAGCTACTGATATTGCATTGTGTTTCATAACAAAAGAGTGATTTCTGTTTCAGACACTGAGGAATTATACTGTAAAGCTTAAGTACAAAAAAGATCCATGCCCTGTTTGGTGTGGATCAGTGGATAGAGAGTTGGCCCATGCACTTAAGGTCTTGGGTTTGATCCCTAACTCTGGTCGTAGTTGGTGGGGAGGCAACCTGCTTTTCCAATCAATGTGTCTCACATTGTCTCTCTCCCCCACCCTTCCTCCCTTCCACTTTCTCTTAAAGTCAATGGAAAAACTATCCTCAGGTGAGGATTAATAAAATAAAACTAAAGTAAAAATAGGTCCATGCCCTGAGAAGATTGGCTATTTATGTGAAGTTCCTTAAATGTCTATTATAGAGATTTATCCATGTAACTGAAGGTTTTATTACCTATTAAATGCCCATCTTCCTATAGGTAGAATGCTATTATTAGTCATTGCCATTCTGTAATATGAATAGCTACATTTTTAGTATCTATTATATAATAAACACTCTACTACGATTTACTCATTTAATTATTTATACAATATTAGATAAGTAATATTATTATCCCAATTTTAGACAAAATAAAATTAAAGTTCAGAGATATTAAAAGGTTTTACTCAGGATCATATAGTTACTCAGGATAAGAATGAGTATTTAAATGAAGTCTTTCTGACATCAGAACCTTTGCTGTTACCCTAGGGCAGGGGTGGGGAACTTTTTCTCTGCCAAGGACCCTTTGGATATTTACATCATTTGCTGGCCATGAAATTATACAGGCAGTCCTCGGGTTACCTTGGACTCAACTTATGTCATTTAATGGTTATATAGCCATCTCCCATTTACAGTATTTATAAAAAAACAGTTCCATCATTTCTCCATACATGTACATACACTGAGTGGCCAGATTATTATGATCTCTGAATGCATAATAATCTGGCCACTCAGTATATGCATGTATGTATATATCTTACCTAATAATAGACAAACATGTAAAATTGACCATACCTCCACTATGCCCACAGCCAATCACAGTGAGTATTCAAATAAACAAAACAAAGATGGTG